CACACACACTCCCCCCCCGTGCACCTTCCCTCTTCCATGTCTTCCCTGCTCTTACCTCCCCCTTTTTGCGATCATCATGCCCTTTGACTCACTCTTTCTCTCTTACCCTTAAGAGAAGTATAACATGCGGAACACCTCGCGGAAGAGTCAAGTAATACTCCGTGATGTCGCGATTGAAAGGTGGAGAAAAGGGGCGACCCGTGGTAAGGCGCATGTCTTCAAGCTTTGCACGTGGGTGAAGAGAAGCTGGATGTGGAGTTGCATTTGGGTCTGGAGGAGAAAAAACGGCAAACATTAAATCTTTATCGGATTCAGTCAGAGCCTGGTTTTGATTAACTAGAGTTTGACCTGGTTGATGTTGCCACTTCGAAAGAATAGCAGCCTTCAACCTTAACTCTTTCTCCCACCCTGGCATCCCATCTCCACCAGCAAGTCCAATTTCCCATTCTTCGTGGTCCACATCCTCACCTTCCTCAAAATGCCGAAAGAAATTGCCATCTCCTCTTTCCATTTCGTTCGTATTCAAACCAAATATCCCACCTCCATACTTTGGTCTCTCCCCCTTCCTCTCCCCCTGATGATTGGTATCATCTCGCTTGTCTTCAGAACTACCGATTATGGGCAGGTGAAGGATGTTATTGACAGCATGATCTTCAATGATATCTCCGTCATGCGATTTGTTCTCTTTGCCACTGGCCCTCCCAGTCTCCCTCACACCTGACAAGGACTTGGACGTCGTCGTAATCCCTTTTCTTGCTGGCAATTCCTCTCCTGTCCCAGATAACCGCCGGTCTGTAACGTTTACCGGCAAGTTGGCTGAAATGCGGACCCTCTTTGCTTTCCCTGGCAGTGGGGGCACTCTGCCACTGCCTGCACTGTTCTCGAAGTCCGACCTGTTGGTCAGGTGTGGCTGCCAATTTCCTCCAGTCACTGATGAATTGTTGGAGAATAATATCGGCAGTGGTAGGCCTTTGCCAACGTCTGAGGAGGAGGAGGAGGAGGACGGGGCTTCATAAGAATGCACGGTCACATCAAAGCTAGGCCTGCTAATAGAACTCGTATTCTCTGGACTTCCCGGATCGCTCTTCGGTCTATGTTGCTTCAACCCCACAGTTTTATGAGCATGTGGAGCATCTTGTTCATGCTGTCCCAATTGCTTAGGAAGTCCCACAGATGCCTCCCTCTTCACTGCATGTACAGCACCGTGGGCCTCCTTCCCAAGTACCAGGTTATCTGTGTGTGAAGCATCAGCTGCTGTGCCAGGGAAGGGATCGCTCTCCATCGCTGGAACGTTGGCTGCTAAGTTTCTGGTCTCGTACCTCATCTCTTTCACACTCTCAGAGATATTGTTGCTTGCATTTATTTGCGAAATTTTGAGATCATTCGATGCATCAGTGTACGTCTGACTGTCGCCTGATGGTATTAGCACCTCTCCTGAACCCATTGTGAGCTCTTCTCGGGCATTTCTCCTAGATGCCAAAGAGTCCGAAATATCATATTTCCTTGATTCCTTGCCTCTGCCTCGACCACTCTCCTTGGACACCACCTCAGCCCCCTTCTCCTTCTTGGATCCATTCTTCCATCTGTCATTGGCTATGTCCCGTTCTACACTAGCCCCCACATCTGAGCCGTTCTTCGAGTCTGAGCTCTCTTCGTGGTCAATTCCAGATTCAAAGCCACCGCTGCCGAGGTCATGTGAGGCTGCTCCTTTCACGACCACGAGTGATGATCCATTCTCTGATGCATCTTTCTTACTGTTCAATTGTATTGTATGCATGTCTTCATCCTCTACAGCCACCACCACCGCATCCTCCCTCTGGTCCTCATCATGGAATGTCATAGTCGCATCATCAGTTCTTATGATACTCTGGCTGCCCTCCTTTGCACCCAAACTGCTGCCAGCTTTCTTCTCTTGCCCATGATCCTGCGGTTCCTTCCTCTGGCCCAATCTGTCCTCATGAGCTTCACTGCTTTGCCCAACACCCATATCATTCTTTCTCAGAATGCTTTGACTACTCTCCACGTAATCTCCAGGACTTGCAACCTCCTGCTCATTGTCTAGGTGCATGCCCTGACGTTTCGAACGCACGGGCCCCGTCGCAGGCAGCTGCCACTCTTCTTCCTGCATCCTGTGAGTTTCCCGATTTCCATCATCATCGTTCTTGACATGAACATTTCTACCCCTGTCACCATGATGATCACCATGATAGTCATCTTCGGCGTCACCATCATCATTGTGTTCATCTTGGCCGTCATGGTTTCCACTCTCCTCATGCAACAATGGCCAACCTGCGTCTTCTACCCCCTTGTTGCCATGAACCATTGTTCCTAAGGACCCCTTCTTCTCCGCTCCTTGACCACCAGATGCATGAACTAAACTACCATCCAGTGTGCCACTATCATCAAGCGTACCGCCCTCACCATCACTACCACCACCATCATCACCACCACTATGGTCATGGCTACCAGCCACCTTCAGTTTTTTGCTTTCTCTTTCTGCTGAGTCGTCATCCTCTAGGCCACCTGGTTGGTCATTATCCCCAGCTTTTCTGTCAATTTCATCCTCTTGTTTGGATTTTCCTCCAGTGGGAACTTTCTTAACATCAGTCTCCTTGGCCATATTGATTTCAATCTTTGTCTCCTCCTCCTCCTCTTCCTCGTTATCCTCCTCATTACCCTCCTCCCCTCTACCACCGTCTTCCCCGGCCCCTCTCTCACTGTTGCCATTTCCATCAACAACGTCGTCATCATCCTCAACCATGACACCCCCATTCATAAGGACACCAATGCCCTCATCTAGATTATCACTTTCATCATCATTCTGGCCAATGGCTTTTGAAGCCTTGGGCTTTTCTTGCTCCTCTTCCATGTCATCCTTCACATCTGCCTGATCACTCCCACCTGTCCCTGTCTCTCTCTTACCATCATTCCTGGGTCCTTCAGTGACAACAGCATTGCTTTCCACATCTTTGACTGGTCGATCCACCTTGTTAGATGAGACTGCTAGTGTTTTGTCTACTGCCGCTGCTTCCATTTGCGCTCCGTTGCTGCTTGTGATACCACTTCCACCCTGTGCAGCTGCTGTATTGTCCTTCTTTGTTTGCAGCAACCCTGTATTGGATTGTTTCCCTCTTACTTCTTCTTTGTTCTCCATATCTTCAACTTCAGTGGCAGTGGCTGCTGCAAGTCCAAGTCCCCCTTTGTCTTTGCCTTTTGCTTCAGCGTTATCATTTGCTGTTACTTGCTCATATTTGCCCTTCATCGTTCCTCCTCTCCATTGTCTTTCTTTGGACTGGCCTTTCTCAGCTTCAGCTATCTCAGTCTCCCCACGTTCCAACCTCGGACGAGCATGATTGTCCTCCTCGTCCTCAGATTCCCTCAGGTTATCTCCTTTCGCTAACAGGTTCTTTCCTGCATCCCTTGCCTGTTTCTCCTCTTCCTCTTCCTCTTCCTCGTCCCAGAATTCTACATCGCTTTCACCTGATTAGTTCACACAGCCACCAATGATCACATCAGAAGTCAACCTCGATAAGAATTCAAATGACTAGAAGCTCCAAGAAAAAGATCATTCACCATATCATCACTAGAAAAACATCAATCCCATCATTGCTGCTTGAATTACAAACTGAAGCGCTGAGCCTGGCCCTTTGATCAGCATGTGCTCTGAAGCACCCTGGAGACCTGCGCCCCTTGTGCTCCAAAAATCGCTGCCCATGGCTACCTGAGCCCCATAGGAATTTCACCAATGGCTACTTCCCACTCCCATAGGAATTTCACTCATGGTTACCTGTCCCCCATAGGAATTTCATCATTTGCTACTTGCCCCCCCATGTGCTCCGAAAAGCATCTTGACAGCAGGAGCCCTATTGCCTTTTAGGCACCCTGGCAACCTGCACCCCCATGTGCTCCAAAACGCAGAGCTCATAGGAATTTCACCATAGTATAAGCTCTCTGAGCCTACCCACAAGCACCACATGATATCAGACGACAGCACGGAGCCAGGCACAAGCCATGAGACCCTCCCACGACACCAGGAGCGCTACTGCTTGAAGCACCCTGTTCATTCCTGTCCATGAGAGAGAGGGGGACCTGTATGCACATGCTGCCATCCTTACGGAAACACTGGCCTACTGAACCCACTAACTTATGGAATCATTAGTCTACTTGACCAGCACAAGCGTTGTCATTCTAAACAAAGCGGTTGAATTGAGGACTTGAGCTCCTTCCTCGAGGACAACACTTTTGCTGGCATCCGGAAACTGACCATGATTAATTGGTTGGCCCTGCAAGAATTATGAAGTATTACAAGGTTACCCATTGTGGCTTCGCCCGCAAAAAATGAAGGAAATAGTGTTAAAATGAGGATGGGTGGGGATTTGTTGGTTGGGGGGTGGGCTTGGGCGGGGTCGAGGTGGTTTGTAGGCTCTTCTATGCATTGTTGTTGAAGCAGTCTCTCTCTCTCTCTCTCTCTCTCTCTCTCTCTCTCTCTCTCTCTCTCACACCTGTCTCTTATACAC